CACCACCACCACCACCACCACCACCACCAACACCACCACCACCACCGCCACCACCACCACCACCACCACTTTTTAGGTCCTTCTGACTGGCAGTGTGTTCTGACAGGAGTATATTTGATCTTAAAAGTCAACACAGCTCTCGCACTAACACGCCCCTTCGACCATCTGTTAATTTAGAGCCGTCCATAATTACTGTGAATAATATCCTTCCAGCCAAAACCATAATTGTGATCAATAGGCAGATACGTCTTAGCTTAAACTACGGAAGAATATTTCATCTTGTCCAATCGTATCATAAGACATATTTTGAAGTTGTCCGACATAGTGTAGGGCTACTACCGCAAATGTATTCCAGGTTTTCTTCGCTACTTTTAAAAGCCAAACTTCTTACAAAAAATACAACCTTTTCAAACAGATGTATTCTTTTGCTTCCATGCTAATAGCGCGTCCTCTCTGCTCGCACCGCCAGGGGAGCTCAAGTTATCAGCTTTCTGGCCTCATTTGGCTGTCTCGCTATGGCCGTACCAGCAATGCTTATGGGAGCCATTGCGGCTAGTACGGGTAAGTGACTCGGAATATTGTATTGTTGCATAAAAGTTTCTGTTTATTCTTATTTACTCTTCATCTTCATCATCGTCTTTGCTATTAACCTTCCTGCCCTTCTTATTAATACTATTACTATTAATTATATTGTTGCCTATAAAAGCGAAAATGCGAGTCCCAGGAAGTAGAATCGATCGTTGGGACAAGAACTCTATTGGCCTTACGCTTTGGATTCCAACTCGAACCTGTGTCCAGAGACAGCGTCAAATAAAACGAAATTCATACACAAGGAGTTGCAATATTTATGGGATGTAGTCGCTATGCTACTGCCCCCCCCCAGGACAATTAACAGCTCTTATCTTCGTCGATGACGATTGTCGACTGGTTTGCTAATGGCATGGCAGTCAGTATGTGAGTTGTTATCCGCTGAAATTTCATTGCTAGTGTTGTGGGTGGGCCATAGCGTGATGATTGCTCGGCCGCCGGGCTCATCGCCATTGGTGTTGGAAAATGTTTATGGCTGTGCGCTCCCGGGGCGGGTTGACTGCTGTTGCCAGACCAAGTCTCCGCAGTGAATAGGAGTTGGAAAGGTCATTGCACTCGGGGCGCGTAAATAATGACTCAACCAACTCCTGGCCGGAAGCCAAAACGTCAGGCGAAGGAAGTTCTTGTCCCAGTAATTGTGTCTAGTTATTCTCAATTATTATTAGCATCTGCCTCCATTTCATTCTCCTCTTACCCCATCTTCGTCTCCTCCTCATTAGACGCATAAGAAACGTCTTCATAATCATTATCGGCATCTGCCAGCCTTTCATGCTTCTCTCAGTCCCATCATTAGCATGCCCGTCCGTCTCATCCTCACCCTCCTCCTGCCACTTGCCCTTCTACTCCTCCTCCTCCTCCTCCTCATCATCATCATCATAATTACCATCGTTTTTATTCTCTTCTTCTTCCCATTACATGTCTCCTACTTCTAATCATCCACCTAATCATAATCATAATCACAATTTTCCCCTTTCGTCATCGTCTTATTTGCGTTCTTATCATCGTCCTCCTCGTCCTCCTTATCAACAGCATAATACACATCAACTCCTTCTTCATCTCAATTTTTCCCGCATTAATTTCAGTAATTTTGCTTTCCTTCGATTTCTTCTCGGCAGATTTTATATTATTTTTTATCTTTATTTCTGCACTATGCCCCTTTGGCGCCTGCCTTCAATTGTTCTTGTCTACCTAAATTAATGTTCGCATTTCGCGCATTGGTCATTTGGCAGAGCTGCTTTTTTTTTATCTAGAGACGTTATCTTAGCGGTAGAACGCTTTCCCTAGTTCCTTCCAACGATCGGCTTATGAACATTTCTCCTACTGATA